AGTGTGGAAAAGGTCAGGGTAAAGTCGGATAAAGGACTTGTGGAAGCTGCTGGGGCTGCTGTGGGCAGGTTCTGGGGGTGTCTCAACAGATCCTCACACAAAGGGCCAATTACAGCCCCTACATCAAGCCAGCGGGGATGAAATGAATCAGCCCCTGGGAACTGCAGCTGCTGAGAGCCCTCGGGCCACACCCCAGAAGTTCCCGGGGCTCCTCACAGTCCCATCTAGGAAAAGCCTCATTATTCTCCTACCCAGAGGGTCTTTGGGAGGGAAAATTTCAAGCCCCATGTGAGAATGAGCACTACAGACCAATGCTGTGAGCAGCACCCACCATGCCAGCCTCACAGGCAGCAGCCTGAACAGCAGAATGGGGTTGTCTCTCCTTTTAAAATTTCCACACACTTTTTTTTTAAAGCTTAGTGAGTACTGGAGATCTTCCAGAGCTCACAGACCAGCATAAAGTTCAGGAAGCTGTGCTGACCAGTCTCTTCTCAGCAGCTGCTGGATTTTTAGAAATCAGTAATAAGAGCAGTGATAATTCACCTTAATAACAGCTTGGCCTCCTCAGGCATCTTTCATCTATGCAACACCCAGAGCCAGGAGAATGGTAATTATCAAGCAGATGCCACACCCCACTGAGAATGTGCTATTAATCCATCAGCACAGGCTGGGAAACTGAGGCCAAGGGAGAAGGATTCTCCCTCATATGGCTAAGGATGCAGGTGCGAAGAGCCACTGGGCCATGAGGAACTGAAGGCACTGGCTCCATACCTGCTGTGTTTTGGGAGATGCTGAGATAAGGGCACTCCTTTCAGAGTCACTAGATCTGGATTTGGGGTGAAGGTGAGGAAGACCTGGTAGGTCTCCTTAGCCCCCTCCAGGGGCTGCAGCAGAGCTTGGTGGTAGCCGTGGCTGGGAGTAAGGGCCTCTGCTCTTGAGCCCTCACACTCACCTTCCCAATGGCTGCTTTGAGCATGTCTGCTATCTCTGTAAAACGTGCGGGCACTACAGAGGGAGGGCTCAGCTCTCCAAACAGCCCCAAGCCCCAGGTGCAGTTCATGAGGTGGGAGCGGTGGCACCCTGCAGCTGGGTGGGCGGATCTATCAAAAACATGGGAGACTGCTTCTTGGGATGCAAGCCCATCTCCACAATCCCCTTCCATCTTTGGCACTGATCTCAAAATAATGAGATCTTTCCCCCAGCAAGGCCCGCCTGGTCTGTCACTGCTACAGAAACCTGCAGAGGCGGCCCAGCTGGCCCGTGCCCTCCTGCCTCAGGAGGACAGGAGAGGGTGGGCAAAGAGCCACAGAAGACAAAGATCCTTTCCCACTGTGGCCATGGAGGGAAGCAGCAGAGACTCAAACAAGAATAGAAGGGTAAGAGAGAGGTCTGCTGTGCAGATCCATCCACAGCCTATTATGTGCCTGGTACTGTGAGAGACACTGGGAACAACATAACCTCAGCCCTGACGAAACCATAAGGGCCAAGCCAGGCAGCCACCAGGAGCCCTGTCCTCCAACACTCAGGGCAGGGCCTGCAGAAAAATATTAAGGGTGTTGTTCTATGGGATTTGAAGTTGTTTTTCTTCAGCATGTTAGAGAGCTAACCAGAGCCCCTGGGGCCCTGAGGTAACACTCTGACCCTCCAAAAGCCCAGCTCTCTGCAATCTCAGGTTCAAGAACCTCCCTTCTTTAAATTTGGCAAAGGTCCCCTTTTGCCCAAGAAATTAAGGCAGAATGGTGCCATGTAAAACACCAGACTAGTGCAAGAACCCTGCCTCTGACACACATCATCATATGAATCACTTCTCCCTCTGGACTTCAGTTTCTCCATTTTTAACACGAGGGCGTTGGACTAGACCATCTCTAGGACTCCTTCCAGCCTATGACTCTATGTTGTTTGGATGTGGTGGCAGATCCCAGGTTGATTTACATAAATTTGCATGTTCAATCAGAAATCCCAAACTCCAAGAATAGAAAATCGAATCAGTCCATTAGTGTAGCCAGACTGGGGTTGGAGGAGCCTGTCGGTTCAGATGAGGCCTGTCAAAGCAGATGGTGGCAGTGGTGGGGGACTGGGGGAGGAGCCAGGGATGTGGGGGTCAGAAGCAGCATTTGTTCTGAGATGCAGTTCTGGTGACCCAGGGCTGCTCAGGAGCCAGGGACCCTTCTTCAGCTATCAAGCAAGGGCCCTTTCTCCTGCTTCCTTGTCTGGCTGGCCAGCCTCAGAGCCACACCCCAGGAGGAAACAGCAGCCTCTGCCTAGCAACAGCCGCATCCTTCACTCTGACAGGGACTCAACCATTAACCACTTTCTGAGAAACTGACCTCCCTGGGAGCTTCCATTCTCCATTCCAGGGGCTCCGAGCAGTGAAGAGGATTTCCTTGGGGTCTAACCTAAATACCTTCTGCTCCAGCTTCACTCCCATGGGCAGCAGGGCCCAGGGAGGGAGGCTGCTCGGGACCCGGCAGCTCAGAGTGAAAAGCAATGCAGAAGAATGTGCTGCACATCCAATCCATTGCACAGCCTCTCTAACCACCACTCTCCTGCACCATACCCCCTGGAACCTGGGAGGCCAAGGGTGAATACAAAGATGCCATGAAGGCCTTTAGCTCTTGGGCCGCAGAGCATGTCCCAACCTGGAGAGCCTGACTCCTGAGAAACCCTACTCCCAGCAGGGAAGGAGGCTGAGAAAGCTGGGGTTGGGGCAGCAGCTCCCTGCTGCCACCTGGCTGGTAAGGCAGGGCCTGGGAGGTTGGCTGGGTGAGGACAGCAGGGAAGATTCCTCAAAGCCTGGGAGCTGGGGAGTGAAGGCAGAGGTGAGGTGAGTAGGGCCAGGGGACAGAATGGGTGACAGCGGGGGGGCTCTCCTCATCCTCTTCCCATGAGAGGAAGATGAGTGTGCTCCCTGGCCCAGATCCTAAAACAAGCCCCAACAACTGAGATGCAAACTGTCTCCTGGGAATCAGCTTACCCCGCTAGCTCTTAGCTACTTCCTCCTCTCAACTTTTTCCCAAAGGCCCAACTCAAAGACTGGCCTGCTGGGATGTCTCATCAGATGCCCTCATGAGTGGGCCATACCGCAAGCCACAAGGGGTGAGCTGGACAGTGATTCTTAGGCAGGATAAGGGATTATGCTCTCCTCCACCCAAGGTTCTAATGCTAAGTAACTTTGATTTAGAACAGCATCACCCAACACCTACCTCCAAACTGCGCCACCTTGCCAGAAGACCTTTCTCCCCTCTAGATACACTCATCAGTGGAACCACATATCTCAGAAAGTGGAAGAGAATTTAGAGCTTTCTAGTCCAACTGCTAAGTTTACAGATGGGGGAACAGAGCTCCAGAGAAGCAAATTGTCCCGACCAAGGTCATAAAGCCAGTAAGGAAGAACAGAGACCAGAGCTCTGATTCCCAGCCCACAATGATAGCAGCTTGATCCTAATATGCACTGCTTTCTGCCTGTCTGTGGTGGAAACGCTTGTTCCCTGCAGCCCCAGCCATCCGCCTCTCCAGGTTCTCACTCTCCTCCAAAAGCCTGAGCTGGAGAAAGATGCTGGAGGGCCCAAGCCACTGCCGGCACGAGGGCAGACACCACTGCAAGCACAGACCACAGACTCTGAAAATAAAGTTGAACTATACGAGAATATCTCCCCTGTCAGGAACACATGTTTCTCTGAAGTAGAAAACCCACTAACCCCAGGTTGCTCTCAGAAAGACAGTGAACCAACATGAGAAGTGAATTTTGTCACTTCTCTGAAACCCTTCCTGAAAGACAAGGAGTCTCAGAGTCAGCTGACACAGTATCTTGCAAGTGAGAGTCTGCAACAAGGCAACTGGGCTAGATTCATTTTCCCCAAAAGTACTGAACACAGAATGGTTAGGCACTGACCTCCTCTCTACTGTCCCCCAGGAGCACCCCATCCCAAACCTCTGTCTCCAACCACTACCTCTGGAAGGCAATTGTGCTTAGGCAGGAGGACCCCTGGGGAAGGCAGAGCAGTGGCAGAATGGGAATAGGATTGCCTTTACAGCCAGAGAACAAGTCAGCCTAAGACCCCCAGCTTCTCAGGAAGATGAGCATTTAAGAAGTAGCAGCTGGACAGGCTGGGTAGACAGCGCTGAGACGCCCGGAAAACCAGGCCTGTGGGAGGTGCGGGCCCTCCGGGGCAGTGCCAGGGCTAGAGAGACCACAGGGCCTTAGACCCAAGTTAAGGCGAGGGGAGATGGGGTTCGGACAGCCGCTTTCTTAGTCGATCTAAGCCAGGCGAGTGTCGGGCACAGATAAATTCTCTGCATTCTTCTGGCACCGCAACCAGGACCCAGAGAGACTTTTCTAAACGCGCTGGCCTGGCCCCACTCCCTGCCCAGCCTTTCTCCCTATCTCAGATTCTCTGGAGGGTTCAGCCCGCCGGGCTCCCCTTCCTCCTTCCCCTCAAAGCCACCGAAGTTGTTCTCGGAGACCCTGATCTCTCCGCCTGTCTCCATCTACTCCACGCCCTACCGACACAGGCCACGGGGACTGCAAAGAGGGCGAAGAGGAGCTCAAGGCTCGTTTCCGAGCCTGCGCTTTGGGAAGAGCTCCCCCCAGCCTCCGCAACAACCCGGCACCGCTAAACTGTACCCGGACGGTGGAATGAGGGGTGGGGTGGGGTGCGCAGCTGGGGAAAGGTCAGTGTTTTAAGAGGGAGGGAGACCAGTCCCCGGAACATCCCCCTATGCCGAAAGTTTCCCTTCCGGGGCCACGGAGTGTGCGCGAGGATGGCGCGGGGGGCGGGAGGGGGTGGGGTGCGGGTGGACAGAGTCGCAGCCGGACCCTCCGGGGAGAGTGCGGCCGGAGAGAGGGGCAGGGCGTGAGGTCCCGGTAGGAAACAGCGCTGCGCTGCCCCCTCCAGCCCAAGGCTGCCACGAGAGCCTTACCCTCCACATTCCCACCCCCAGCCCGGAGATTACAACCCCCACTCGCCGCCCTGTAAACCCCAAGTAGAAGCCGAACTCACCGAAATCAGGTGTTGAATTGGGCCAGGGCAGACCGGAGCTGCTGGGTCCATGGCCGCGGCTCGGGTACAGGGGGCTGAGAAAGGGGGGGTGCTGGGGCCGCCTCTTGATGTCTAGGCTTTAAAGGGGCCAGTGAGCCCCGCCCCCCACCCAGATCACGCCTTCCCCTCCCGCGCAAGCCAATCCACGTTCACCCTGGATGCCCACCCCCAGCTCCTCCAGATGTTCCCAGGACAAGAGCTAGGGACGCCCGACCCCAACGCGCTGCTTCCGCGAGGTGGGAAGGGCCTCCCTTCCCCCTATAGGGAAACACTCTTACTAGGCCTGGCCGAGTCTTGCCTGCTAAACCACCCTAGGGCTGGGGTAAAAGCCTGGCTGGGCGGAGCGGTGGATGGAAGAGAGCATCTGTAGCAGAGAAAACTAAGTAGGTGCGCGCGGAGCTACGGGCATGCGCGCCTGCTTCTGTGGAGCTGGGCGTGCACGTGTATATGTGGTTGTGGGCGTATGTTTGTAATTTGCCTTCCTGTTTACGTTTTGGGCATAAGTCTATGGGTACAGGCTTGAGTGCTTCCTTGGCCCTAAACGATCCCGCCTCCGTGATCGGGTCCTCCCAGTAACATGGAAAACGGTGCTGGGTACAGGCTCCGCTCCTCTGCTGTGCGGGCCGAGTCCTCACTGCTTTAGCAGGAGTGAAGGCTGAACAGAAAAAGGATACAACCTTGTTCTGAGCCACCTGCTGTCTTAGTAGGAATGAGTTCCTGCTCTCTTTAACTACCGAGTGCTTAAAAGAGGAAAAGCAAACAGCTCACTTAGGAGGCCCCTGCAGAGCCTCAGAGCTCCCTTCAATACAATTTTCATTGGTCCTTGCCCTTGACTGGATACCATATAATCTTCGCAATCTGCATTGTACTGACTGGCCAGTTAATGCAGGTTCCAAACGGGGTTCTGCAGAGAAATTCGAAGGGATCCCTAGCCATTGTCTCTCCAATTTTATTAAATTGCTTATGCTGTGGGTATACACGAGATGTATCAAAGTATCATATTAATCCAAAAAGGAATAGAAAAGCTGAGGGAACACAGTGTTTAAATTGGCTAGGATTAGTCAAGAGTTCCTCTCTGAAGGAAGCTTCTTAATTTAAAATGGCATTGGAAGGGCAGAGAACACTTGAGTAGAAACCAGGCAGGTCAGGACACAAGGAGACTCAGGTAGGAATGAGCAAATTATCTGCATCAGACAGTAAGCAGTTCACCTTGGTAGGGTGGGAAATGGGTAAAGTTGAGGATGATTGAGTGAGATCAGAATGAGAATGTGGATTTGACAAGTCGTTTTGCTTCTTGAGCACAGGGGTAGCTTGATGAAAACAGTGCCTGAGGACTGTTATTACTGGAGCTAAAAGATGTCATGATGGTTACTCCCACCAGCTTTCTCATCTTTGCTTTAAAACAAAAATTTTAATTGATTTATCCTTAATATACAATAAAATGCACAGATCTAAGGTGTTTGTGGTGAATTTCAACATATACCTATGTAACCCCCCAAACAAGCTAATGAGCCATCACGCCAGAAAATTCCCTCATGCTCCTTTATAGTTGACAACCCTGCACCTACCCCACCACACAGCCCCTGCAACTTGCTGAATTCTATCACCATAATTGTCTCTGTTCCTTGGATTTCATGTAAGTGGAATCATACAGTATGTACTCTCGTGTCCATATTCATTAGTTTAGCAATGGTTTTGAGATCCAGCCACGAGTAGTCTTTTCCTGGATAAATATATCACAATTAGTTTATTCATTTCTCCATTTGATGGATATTTAGGTGTTTACAGTATAGAGCTATTATGAATAAGGCGGCTATAAACGTTCTTCTGCAAATTGCTTTGTGAACTTGTTTTCATTTCTGGGAAAGCTCACCTTATTTCTTGATGATAGGTACTGGCATCTTTGGAACCCTGAAGCATTATTATTCAATCACCCAACATTTATTGAATAGGGATCAGTGGGTTAGTCCTGGGCTTACAACAAAAACAGATGTGAAACATTCCTCAAAGGACTTAAAAAGTCCAGTAAAACTCTAAGTATCTGTTGCATTACAAAACTATGGGATGAAAAACACCTCAAGAGTCGGCCAGGCATCTCTATTTGTGGATGTTCCCAAATAACTAAATTTTTGGAAGCAAAAAGACCACCTAGATGATTTTTTACTTATCATTCAGATGCTTCCCTTGTTCAATAAACACAGCCAGAACATCTGGTTGTCAGACAAGTACCTGCCTTTACTTAAAGGCTCTTGCAAACTTGAAAGTTGAGGCATTCAGATTTTGGCAGGTTCTCTATGCCTTCATCTTCACTGACATGAGGTGGAAGAAATAAAGCTACCATTGCTCCATGATCTCTGTCTTTGATGAAGGCTTAGGACACTTCAATTCTCAGTGGCCTAATTCACTTAAATAATTAAAAATTATACAGAAGTCCCAAAGTTGATTTTATTCCCTTGTTATATATACCCACTGATCATATAGTGTTCTTTTTTGAAACATCTGTGTCACAAAACAAACTAGGCTTTTAGGTTTCTTGTTGCTGCAAGGTGTTGGTAACAAACCAGTTTTGTGCATGATCTAATTGTGTATATAGTGCTGATGACTGATAGGCAGATGGCATCTCTGAGAACTACCCTCTCAATGCTCACGTCAGGACTTTGGGGGGGTCCTCTGCTTCAGTACTATGTGGTCATTCAGTGTTGCAGCATCTTCATTCCTCAGTTTAGCGCTGTACTCATTTGGCCATTGGTTGATAAACTGACCCCAGTTTAGAATTTCTGACACCAGGAGGTGGTCAGGATGGTAACTACCTTCTCAAAAGATCCTAACCTCAAAAGATTCTCTAGGTTGGACTGACTCAGAGTGCATTCTTGATGTCTTTCTTACTCAATGAGAGGAAGAAAGAGGCTGGGGATAGGCTGTTGGGTCATTTGCTGAACAGACCTTTGCTATTGCTGCTTAATTCTACATGAAACAATCATGTTCCTTGTGTTCTGACAGAATTGCCAATATGTGCTTTGAAACCTCCTACCTGGCACAGATATGATAGATCCACTCAGGTCCTTGACTGCCCTTTTTCTCATTTTCCTTACTCAAAAAACCTTATTGTGTCTCTACTGTATGCCAGGCACTGTGCATATAGAATTAGATAACCAGTATGGAATTGAAAAGGTAAGCAATGGGGAGAGCATACTTTATCCCAAGAGCAATGCAGAGCCTTTGGATGGCTTTCAGCAAGGGGATGGCATAACCACGACTGCATTTTAGAAAGATCACTGTGGAAAATAGGGTGTAAGAGTGAAATCAGGAAGACCGGAGAGAACAGTTTTGTAGTTGCTCTACAAATGAGAAACAAGGTGCTGTCGACTAGGAACTGATAGTGGTGACTGGAAGGGGCAGGAAGCAGAGAGCTAAGTCAAGACCTCTAGACTAAGTAACTTGCAGATAGTAGGCCCACTCACTGCAACAGAAAACACCAGAGGAAAGAGCAGATTTGGGAGATGAGATATGCTTACTCCCAAACGTGCTGATATTGAAATGCCTGGGGGATGTCCAAGTGGAAATGACTATCCAAGAGGTCAAAGCTTCCCTACTGTTGTCCCTCTGACATAGAACAGTCTCGGTAAGGTATGTTACCATGAAATCACCATCATTTTCTGTGTTCCACGAAATGGAAAAGCTTGGGAGGTACTGATTGCATACTACTGTTGGATAAATAATTCTGAAACTCAGGCAAGAGATCTGGACTTGAGTGAAGAGATTTGTGAGTCACCAGGACATCAGAACATAGGTGGTAAATGAAGCCATGGAGTGGAAGAGATTACGGCAAGGAGAGAAGAGACTGAACAGAACTCTGAGGAACATCATTAGAGAGGGGCTCCAGAGAAGGAGGGGGACAACTGGCTGAGAGCTGTCACCAGAGCCCAAGAGGCTTCCAAGACAAGACCAAATAGTTACTGATATCGCTGCTGTCACATTGGATCAGCACTGAGACATACTGGCTGACTTCAGCCCTATGTCCCTAGTGACTTTGGCAAAACCAAACTAAAAAGGGTTCAGGAAGATGTACAAAGTAAGGGATGGAGGGAAGAAGTGTTTAAAACTCTTTAAAAAAAATTTGGCTATGCTTTGAGGGAAAAGCTAGATATGTGGGTAGGGCAATGGGGAGTGAGAGTCAGTTTAGGAAGCTATTTTTAGAAAGACTGCTTAATTTCATTTCAAAAATAATTTAAAACTAGTTATTTTTAAAAAGCACTATGTGCATATGGGTAGAAAAAAATCAAATAACACAGAGCAATTTTTTGCTGCATTTTCCATCTCCAACTGTGAGGCATTTTAATTTCTGGCTGATCCTTTAATATGATTAAAATATATTTATGTTGTTATCCTTTAATTTTTCACTTTTAGATGCTTTATTACCTTCTATGTGTATATTCTTCTTAAAAGGTACAAAAGTGGGAGCTTACTATTTATACTTACTACACTTGAAACATCTTGGAGACCTTTCTACATTAGCATATATTGACCTACCTTGTTCTTTTTAACAATTGCATAGTAATCCATTTATGGCTGTACCATAGTTTCCTAGTGATGGGTTGTTTCCAGCTTTCACTTTTACCAACCAACTATAATGTACACATCCTTATATAGTTATGTTTGTATTATAAGGACACTTGCCCTTTGTCATATATATTGCAAACAATTTCCCTAATTGGTAGCTTGTCATGTGACTTTTTTAGATTTTTTTTTTCTTTGCCTTAGTCAAATTTATTGGTCTTTTCTTTTATGGCTTTTGGGTTTTTTATGTTCAGTAAGTACTCCAATTTTTAAAATGACCATTTTTCTCTAGTATGTTTAATAGTTTTTTTACTTAAAATATTCCATTCAGAATCTACTTAAATGACAAAGACCACTGTTATTTCTCACTACTGCTCAGAAGACATCTTCATTCTAAACCAGCCAATCCTGTTTGTTCTTGATATATAAATACCCTGTCCTCTGTACTCCTGATGAGAGGTTCCTTTCTCCAGGCTCATCACTGCAAAAGCCATATTCCCTTAGGGAACAGCTCAAATCCCATATCTTCTGAAAGTCTTCCATGTCCATTGAGGGTCACAAAGATTTTTCTTTTTCTGGTGCCCACATGATCGCCTGCTGCCTTGTACAAGCCTCTCCTTTTCTCAACTGCAACATATTTGCTGAATGAATCAAATCCAACTTTTACAAGTCTTGGTTGTTTAATCTACTTTTTCCATCCTCCACAGCAGCTAAAAGCATGCTAGGTGTAAGGAAGGAATTAATGAAATACTTCTTGATTTGCCATAAAAGTGTGTGCTTCGCTAATGGGCATCTGAAATGTGGCTGCTCCAAACTGAGATGACCTGTAAGCGTAAAATACTCATCAGATTTTGAAAATGGTATAGAAAAAGGTAACATATCTCATTACTAATTTTTATATTGACTGTATGTTAAAATGATAATTTTTTGATATACTGGGTTACATAATTTTTAAAAAGTATATCCAGAATCATTTTCTATTCTTCAAGAAGCCTCATCATGCTTGGTGTTGGCTCCTAAATTAGGCTGGTTTGAGGGGAAGATGGATCTTTTCTTGAAATCAAAGATCATCTGTCTTCAGGGATGCTCATAGGCCATTATGCAATCATTACCATCTTCGTATCAGGGCTTCATATTTATGAGTACTATTTACACATCTTTGAAAATAACTGCTACAGAGTTGAAATACAATGGTTTTCCCAACAGGTCAGCCAATAGAAATGTTAGGAGGGAACAGGTCAGGCTCAGATGCTTAAGCATCACCTATAGTTTTAATGACTGAAGATTATTCAATTAACCATGTAGATGGAACCCCGCCATTTCTTTGGTCACTGGGGCCATTTTCTGCCATTAAGGAGTTATCTGGACAGATACCACTTGGCTTGTACCTTGTCTCTTTGTAGTCAGAGCCCCTATATTAGTTTCCTGTTCCTGCTGTAACAACTCATCACAAACTTAATGGTTTAAAACAACACAAATTTATTCTCTCACGGAAGTCTAAAATCAAGGTGTTGGCGCAGCTCTATTCCTTCCAGAGGCTTCAGGGATGATCCATTTCCTTGCCTTTTCTAATGGCATTTCTTGGCTCACAGCCCTTTCATCACTCCAACCTCTTGCTTCTGCTGCATCTCCTACTGTGGTCAAATCTCCCTTTGCCTTCCCTTTTATAAGGATACTTATGATTAATTTAGGGTCCATCTTAGTAGCCAAGATTAATCTCCTGATCTCAAAATCATTAATCAAGATCTTTAATCTACATAATTTACATATTTGTACACATCTACAAAGTCCCTTTTGCTATCTAAGGTAGCATTCACAGGTTCCAGGGATTAGGATGTGGCCATCTTGGGGGACCATTATTCAGCCTGCCCATATACATTTCTTTGTATTGCTCTGGTGGAGGGCAAGAGCACCAGCAGGGTCACAAGGTCTCCAAGTGCTCTTAAATTAAGATCTACAGAGCAGTAGGTAAATTCACATCTGTAACCATGTGATCACTCTGAAACCATCATACACTGGCCTCATTTCCATTAGCAGTTAGCACTCCCTCCCCAGCATTGCTTCCTTTAAAATGCTCTGTAGTGCTGGAGTTGAACTCATTACTTCTTCACCCTAAAAAACAAATTACTGGAGATAGTAAGATGTGTGTTTTCTACAGAGATGAGATGTTTTTCTCATAAGTCTTTGATCTAACAAGCACAGTCATGGTCTGTGGCATGCTTACAGAGTATAATAGCTCCTTGTTTTTGTTTAACACTCTGCATTCTGCAAAATACCTTAATATCTTTAAGCTCATTTTTAAACAGATGAGTAAACTGAGGCTTAGAGCGGTTAAATGACTTGAACAGGGTGGTGACACAATGAATTACTGGCAGACACGGATTCCAAATCTGATGTTCTTTCCACCTCATGTTCCCTGGCCAAACTCAATCCCAGGGGACTGAGAAGGAACTGCCTGATCTTGAGATCTTAATATATCCTGGAGTTGGCCTTAGAATCCCTAACTTCTGAGAAGATATGGATTGAACCCCACTTTTATGAGTTTTGACTTACCTACCCAGCGGTCAAAGCTAGAGGCAGAATGGGAATTTCAGGAATTCAGAGGAAGGTTACGGTTGCTGGCAAGGGAGAGAGTACAGTGAGAGGGTAGTTAGGACTGAGGGGGACTTAGAGTGTCTGTGTCTGCTGTATGGCTGCCAACTGTGTTCTGAAACACCTGTGAGAGCCAAGCCTGTTTAAATGGTAGGCTGCAGCAGGGGTACTCTCAGGTATCCCACCTAGAATTAGGCTTGACTTCAGAGAGGAATTCTAAGAACGTCAGGGATAACCAAGAGTGCCTGGCTGGATCTCTTATTCCCAGACCTGAACACATAATTTGAGGAAGCACAGTAAATCCAAAGCCCTTGCTTTTACACTGGATCTTTGGAGTCTCTTCCCAGTCTTGATTTCTGTGGCATCTCAAGGCATGGCAGCCAAGACCCACACTTGGCCACTACACTGCCGAGGTTCAAGCTCTGCCACTTACCAGGTGTGTGACCTTGGGAAAGTCACCTAACCTGTGTGTGCTTCAGTTTCCACACCAGCAAAATGGGGATAATAATAGTTATCTGCCCACAGGATTGTTTCAAGTATTAAAAAAGTTGTCTGGTACATGGTACTGTATCATCATCTTTTTTGTTTTCTTTTTCCCTATTTCTAACCAGATCTCTCTTGGTTCCTCCTTTCCCCCTCACTTAATAACTATTAGCAGCCCTCAGGCCTAGGATCTGGTCCCTATCATATCCACATGTTTTTGGAATTTACTACTCGTTAAATCTCAATCAATCTGTATGAATGACTTCGAAATTCTTATTTCTAGTTTTCATCTGCTATCCTCTTCCAAACCATCAATAATGAAGGTCTTGAAATGGATATTTTATCTCAGTGATGTTTGGGAACATACACTGCCAACTCGCATGCCAAAGGCTAAGCTTATCCCCTCTCAATGTACTAATTTCTCTCCATTTTCAGTTTCCTGGACAGTCTTTTGCCCAATCACAGATCTCTTTTCTTCTCAATACTTGAATCCAGGTGCCATTTCTCTTTTGTCCACTCATGTATTCATTCAACAAGTAATTCTCAGCTGCCTGCCTTGTGTCAGACATTGTGCTAGGTAGGCCTAGGTTTATAAGGGTAAGTTGGGCTTGAGGACATCAGTCTTGTGGTGGTGGGAAAGAGGCATATAAACGATTATCATGAGGTCAGTACTATACTAGAGGCTTCCATGCAAAGTCTGCACTAGACTGTAGTAACAAATGCAAAGTACTACAGGCATTAGGGAAGATTTCTGAGAAAATGTAACATCTGGGTCATTTTTTAGGACAAACAGTTCATCCAAGTTGCAAGGTAGGAGAGCTGGAGGAGAGAGATGAGAAGCAGAGGGAACCTGTGCTAAATCTCAGAGGTATGAAAGGATATGACCAATCTGGGGGGCAGTTTAAGGGGTAGTGGTGAGAAGTTTAGTGTGGCTCATTTGAGGAGGAAAGGCATGAAGACCAGCACTGTCCAACACAACTTCCTGTAAGAATAGAAATGTTCTGTATCTGTGCTGTCCAATAAGGTAGTCACTACTTACATGCAGCTACTGAACACTAGAAATGTGGCTAGCATAACTGAGGAGCTAAATTTTAAATTTTATTTCACTTTGCCTAATTTAAATAGCAAGCAACTAACATACTGACCACCACTGGTTTAGGAACTGGCTAAAGGACAGGACTCTAGGCACAAGGAAACCACTAAGGTTTCTAAGCATGATACTAGTATAGGTAGATATCTGAGAAAGGGAACACTGGCAGTAGGACAGAGAATGGATTGTACAGTAGTGACTTTACACAGAAACCCCTGGTAGTTACCAGCCCCGTGATGGAATAAACGGAGCTTACATATCATTGGCAGGATTTACTGGACTTTGTGACCATTTCCATGAGGGGAGTGTAAGCAAGGAGAGTCAACTGAAGTTTGTAGCTTGGGCAAAGCGTGAGTGCCAACAACTGAGATAGGATTAGGTTTGGAATGAGGGAAATGGGTTTGCTCTAGGGATATGCTAAATTTGAGGTGTTTAAGAACTATCTAGGGGGATTTCACTACCAAACAGGAAAAATATTAATCTGGAACTGCGGAGTTGGGCTACCGATATATTTGGGAGTTATTGGAAGATAGGTAGTTGTTAAAGGCATGGGAGTAGAGGAACTCACACAAGTATGTAGAAGAGGACTGGATAGACCCTAAAGAACCCTAAGCAATCAAAGTGTGGTCTATTTCTGCTTGCATCAGAATCACCTGGGGTGCTGTTAAAAATAGATTGTGAATGTATTTAATGCCATGGAATTGTACACTTAGAAGTAGTTAAAACAGTAAATTCTATGTTACATGTAATTTACCACAACAAAAAAATGCGAAAAACCAAGTCAAAACAAAAAGATTCCTAAGCCCCATTCCCAATCTGAATCAGTTTCTGGAGATGAATCCAGGACTCAGGTAATTCTTATGCAAATTAAAACTGGAACCAATTGTTTAAGAGGTAGAGAGAAACTAAAAGACAGGAAGAGAATAAAGGGAGAGAGATATGGGGGAGAAACCAAGAATGAGCAGTTCAAGAAGGAAAAAAGGGTCAGTGGTGTTATGGCCTGGGAGGAAGACTGCAAAGAGGCTTCAGAATTTGGTGTTCAGGTGGTCACTGATGATGGGCACTGAGGGACCAGAGGCTGTGGGGTCTATTCTTTCAAGGGCTTTGCTCATGTTTGGTGGGGAAGAGATGGCAGGAAGGATTGCATGAGCCTGAGGAGGAGATAGGACACAGGGTAAATTGGCAGTTTTGAAGATATGAGAGAACTGAACATGCTGGCAGGTGGACAAGGAGGAGTCAGTGTGACCAAAGAGACACCAAGGGGATCTTCAATAAAGCGCAATTTGGGAGAGGCAGTAGAGGTTGGGATCAGGAACTTAAGCAGAGGTTATAGGCTAAAAGCTCCCTGGAAGTTTAGAAGAGAAAAGGAGGGAAGACGAAGAAGTTCAATACAAGAGGGCAAGAAAAGACTTTCTGGCACAGCAACCAAGAATGGTACCACTTGGTGGTTAGGTCATCTGCTTAGATTAACAGAGCAGGGATGTAGCGTCAAAAGCCTGCAAAAGGGTAAAAGTCTGGAAGAGTCACTAGAACAGAAGTGATCCAGAGCAGCAATATCAAATGACTGAAAAGTAGCAGTGGAGTCTATTGAGATTAGAATGGCACCAACCACACAATTATCCTGCACAAAGTAGAAAAAAACAAAGGTTTTGTTTCCATCTCCTGTTGTTTCGGGAATGCACTGGCTTCTGCTCTCTCACGCATAAAATTCAAATTCCTTAGCAGGAACTTTTACTAAAACTTCTCTATCAATAGGTCCAACCTCTCATTGCTGGCTGGTTCTCTTATTCCCTACAATAACTTCAATTCATAAAATAATAGAACCTTATGGATTCTGAAACTCATCAATCCAGTCTTCCTTCTTAGCTGGGTATGTTTTGTTTTTCCATCTTCTTTCCATCAAACAAATCTTTCTTCATCTTCCACTTTCCTTTGGGCTCAACTCACAGTTGTTTAACTATCAAAACCTGACAGACATCAGTGACACCTGTGCTATAGTCATACAACTGCAGATGAAACTGTGCTTGCTTCCCATGCATATTCGCACCCCCACACTGGTATGCTCTGGCAGAGGATGCTGACAAAAAAGTCCTGAATTAACTTACGTGCTGGCATGTCATTTGTTCTGAGCATGAGTTTCTTTTTCTTGAGCTGAACCTCCCTGGACAGAGTGGTTAAAGATGAAGTTCTATTTCAGATTCAGAGGGTGCTGTCAACCAAACTCAAGTCACTTTTAATAATTAACATACAGTTATATAGTGTATACAATCCCACTTCATTTGATTTGTGCCAGTTGAATTTAATCTAAAATTTCAAAAAATCTTTTAAATGTTAGTCAGTGCATCTTGGTTAGTATAACTGCTAAGATATAACTGCTGTGCTGAGCCTGGGGATGTTGGGAAACTTGACCTTCTCTGCAAAGATAAGACGTTTTTCCTACTAACTCTCTTTTAGCCAAGCTGGTGACTTCTCATTCCAGGTTGTGTTGTGAGGTTTTAGCCAAAGACAGAAACGAGTAAGTCCAGAAGAAGCTGATCAGATTCAAGGAGCCTAGGGAACTGACACATTCTAAGGCTAGCCTGGCCTAAGTCTTTAAATAACCACCTAAAACAAATCTTTCCATATCCCAGAATCAGGACCAATTTCTCTAGGCCATCTCAATCCAGACAGTACAGCTTACTGCTCCATAGATGTATTCTCTTCAGGGATCATCTCAAACAATGAGGAACAGGTACTGATTCTTTCAACTGCATGTCTTAGACATTTTGCTAAAAGCTTTTGCCAGGTTTTGAGACTGATTAACTATTAGGAGTTAAAGAGAGAGAACTTAATTCCTAGTATGAACCCCTTTTAATATCTCTTTCCTGGTTTTTCAGCCCTTTCAGCTTACTGTCTCCAGAATCTTAACCTGTTCCTTTCTTTCCCTTACTCTGTCAGTAATTCAGAGACTGGATATGTCTCTGTGGTTTGTTTTGTCCTGAAGAGCAGAAGGCTTCGGTCCCAGCTGGTGTTGCCAAAGCAACATACTAATTCCATGCCATGGTCCTGGGTCAGGATCTGCACAATCTGATTGGCCATATCACCTCGGATGGCAAGGGAGTGGAAGTGGTCAAAATCATGGAAGCCCAGCTTCCGGAGACGCCTTGCAGCTGCCCGGTAACACTTCCAGGGCTGAGGCTCCACAAGGAGGTAGCAGCAGAGGGAGGAAAGGTGGGCCAGGAACTCCCATAGGCCATGGTCCCCATGGTTCAGATGAATCCACATGGTTATTGACATGCAGAAGCCAATGTCAAAAACTGAGCATCCAAACTGGCTTAAGAAAGAACTCAAGAGAACTTTCCGGGTCCTTTGGTTCATGAAGTCCAGGGTGATAAAAGTCAAGGCATCAGGAAAAGGGCATTCTTTTTCAGCTCTCTGTATCAGGACTGGATCTATGTCACAGCAGAGGAGATGGAGTTTTCTTGAGGCATCTGAGCAGGTCTCCCCATCTCGTAGGGAAAGGAAGTGTTTGTAAAGAGCCACACTCAGATCCTAGAGGAATCCAAAAGAGCTTTGTCATTGCAGCTCTCAAACAGTGAATGGAAGAGAAACCTGTATCTCTTATCTTCACACCGGACTGTCAGGTACTCCTGGCTTTATAGGATAGGAGGCTCCTAAACTCTAGAGGCTGCCAGAAGTTTTCCACAAAGCAGGCTCTCAGCGCCCTCCAGGGGTCTCAGGCTGTAATGAATCATCTCTACACTGCCGACATTTATGGTAGATTGGTTATATGGCTGATAAAGCTACTGCCCAGTGGATACAGCACAGGAGCCTAGAGCAGTATTTTCCAGCTGAAATAATATGCAAGTTATCTTTTTCCTTTTTCGGGTATCTCAGACCCAGGGAGGAGGAAAGGGTTCCTGGGGGCATAACCAGTATTCCTTACTAAGAAGGGGAGGAACAGAGCAAGTACTATCTTGTAAAAACCTGCTTCTCAAACCTGTGGTTGGGAAAATCTGGATTCCAGAAAGTCCTCATTCAGCTTTCACTCTCCAGCTTCAATTTTACTACCTGTCTTAGCCTTTGCGACCCCCTTCTGAGACTTACTCTGCTTTCTGCATCTGTTTCTCTCAAAAGTCACTGCTGACCTCCTTCTAGAAGTCAGAAAGACCTCCAGCCAAATCGTGATTCATGATTTTCATTATCGTAGCACCTTTTTGACTCTTAAACAAGTCACCATCTCCGTTCTCTAAGTTTGACTTCTATAGCCATTCTAACTAACTCAAATTTGTGTTACTCTAATCCATTTTGTCAAGGCATTTTTCTATTCACTACCTCATTTGCTCTGTGCCATGAGGAAAATATTCATACTCTTTGTGCAGGTTAAGAAAGTGTGGCTGGCAACAACCCAGATGTCCAGTGAAAGTAGCATGGATAAATAAATGTAGTATATTCATTAAGAAGGAATACTAAACAGTAGATTCAAATGAAGGGATTCAGCTCAGTGCAGCAACATGGATGACTCACAAATACATAATGCTGTGTAAAAAAAGCAGGACACAAAAGAAAATACATGGCATGCTTCCACTTATATGAAGTTCAAAAATGAGTAAAATTAAATTACATTGTTTAGAGAAACAAAAATAGTAAGCTATAAAGAAAAGCTAAGGAACAATATTTTAAAAAAGTTATCTCTGGGTGGGGGCGGTTTATAAACAGGAAAAGGCATCAGGTGACTTCTGGGGTATTGATAATGGTCTACTCTAGATCTGGACAGTTGTCACAAAGGTATCTGCTTTAAAATAATTCATAAAGTATTAATTTATGTTTTAAGCACTTTCCTATATGTGGCATAGTTCACAAGAAAATCTGCATTTTAAAAATTATGGTTCAGAGATCAGTGATTTGTCCAATATCATAAAGTTAATACATGGCAAGATATTGGCTACATTAGCTTCTTTCCTCTCTACCAGGCTTCTCATACTTGATTGTGAATACACATCACCTAAGGATCTTATTAAAATAAAGATGCTGATTTAGTAGATTTGGGTGGAGGCTCAGATCCTATATTTCTAATAAGCTTCCAAGACATGATGTAGTTCAAGGGCCACGCTTTGAGTAGTAAGTTCATATACCATGCTGCTCAATTTTCTCCCCATTTATTTACTTCTTTGCTGAGTCCTTCCTATCTGATCTGGGGTGTGCCCCATGTTTGACCAGTCATTTCATCATGTCAGTCCCTCCACCCCCATATCTCTCCATCCTCAATTCCCCAATTCTAGAGTACCCTGGAGGCATAAAAAAGAAAATATAGGCTTAAGGGCTCAGTTCCCCAAGATCCTGATTCAG